ATTAGATTCTATAAAAATGGCCTATTTATGTAAATTTCATTTAGGGTGTTTTTGTATTAGGAAGTTGATGTCTGTAGCTGTTTTTATATTTTCTGTAACTGCAGATTTTAAAGCTTGAGTTGCAGCTTTTCCTGTGACATTTTTTACAACTGCTGCGACTTCTGCAACTATAATTATAATGAATTAGTATCAAAAATGAAACCACATAACTGCAAACATTATCTTTTATTACTAATGTTAATTTATAAAATTGATTATTCGTTGTACATATTAATATGTGTAGCATCAAAAATTCACTCAGGAAAAATATTATTGTTGATTTTTAAATTATGTCACCATTTTTTTTTGGTTAGAATTTAATTGAATGAATGAAGTAGCTGATCAATCAGTAGTTGCAGAAGTTGCAGACAAGTTGCAGCAGTTGCATCATTAGATTTCAAAAAAATTTTGGAACTGCAACTATGGTTTCTGGTCCAAACTATTTTTGAAAAAAAAAGTAGCTTTGAAAATAACTTGGGCTTCTCAATATTTTTTATAAACATGAAAAAACTATGTAAATCAACTTATTTTAATTTAAATAATTTCATCCAATTTCAGCTATTAATAAAAAATAGGTTAGGCCTAATTTTTACCCAAAATGATTTGGCAATTTCAGCTACTAAGAGGGGTAGTTTCGACCAGAAACCTTAGTTGCATTCTCCTAGTTGCAGTGCCATCTTTAATGCTGAGATATTTTTTTTTAGTTAAAAAATTTGAAATATCGCGTAATCCAGAGTCATCAGTGCATCATTTTACCATATTTAGTATTTTATTGATAGCAATGAACCATACTAAAACTCATTGGCCCCAATAAACCTATTCTATTTCCAACCCTAATGCAATTCACATGTTGGATTTTTTAAAAAAATCATCATCCAAAAAAAACGAGTCAATTCATGTTGTGATTGTGTAACTGGGTTCTCAATCCTAAACTTTCCTTTGCTAGCTAACCACTATCACTGTTACCTTTAATTGATAATCACAAAATAGAGGTTGGAACTGGTTTAATTAAAACCGGTTGCAATCAGTTGCAACATAAATTCATTCCCTATTTTTTCATATTCAAAAAAAGCAGCTATGATAAAACTGAATTATTTTAGGTAACCGAATTTAATAAAACTTGTCAAACTGGGAAAACTATTGGGTGTCACTGCCAAATTAAGCACCTGACCATATTAACGCGAATCTCGAAAGTTGATTGGTTGATTTTTTCTGTTTAAGAAATAATTTACAATAATTAACCAAAAATGGGTAGTCAGTACCCCTATGGCGTGATTTTTTTCCTTATTTGGATTTAAATTTAATTCAAATTATAGTGTTGTGGTCACCTTTCCTCTTTTTAAAAGTACTTTTGAATCATAGTGTTGGCAGTGACATTCAATAGAGTTTTCCTGGTCCTATTAATTGTAACAATTACAATCAAAAAAAAATTTTTAAAAAAAAATTGAAAATTGAAAAGGAATTAGAAGTTGCAAAGAACGAGCTCAAGGAGGCAAAAGAAAAGTTGAAGGAGTTTGAAGAGAGGGAGGACAATGGAATGTGGTTGAAGGAGTTGAGAATAGAGATGAGGAGGAGGAGAGAGCTTGACGAAGAAGACAAGAAGAAGAAGGTGAGACTGGAGGAGGAAGAGAAGGAGCTGAAGAAGAACATGAAAGATAGGTTGAAGCAGATGGAGGAGTTGCTGAAATTAGAAAATTTTTGACTTTGCTTGTAAGATGTTGAAATCCTGGTTGATGTAAGATCATCTTCATTCATACCATAAGTATTGGCAAATTTGCAGATCACTGAAATAATTGAATAGTGAAATAAAAAAAATAAAAAACAATTCAATTTTATTATCACGATCACTTTTGTGTATTAAGCAAAAATCAATTTCCATAATTATTCACAAGTTTTATAATGTTTTATTTACAATTAATAAATAAAGAATGTGCACCATTCTTTGATATATATATATATATTGTAATGATTCATTAAACATAAAATTATTTATATCATTTTTTCATTCAATAATTAAAACCCAATCATCAAGTTTAATAGCATAATAAAAAATGCATGTCATGTTTGAAATTTAGATTTGGACGCTTTTTTGGCCGAATTTAATTAATTCCAAAATTCTTAATTTTTATTATTATTTTATTTTATTTATTTCTATTTTTTTATAATCTTTACTTTTATTAATTTTATCCGTATTACATCTATTTCGTAATTTATTTAACTTTTTTAAGGAAGAATCGTCTTTCCAATATTTCAATTTTGAAATATCGGCGCAATTTTGAAATATTGTTACAATTTTGAAATATTATTACAATATTGAAATAACTTTTCAATATTGAACGGAAATTTCAATTTTGAAATATTAGAATTACTAATTAATTGAATTGTATATAAGGAGCTTGAATTCAATGTACTTGAAAAGTAATTTTCTTACAAGTTAATTAGTTTCGACTAAGAAAAACTAAATAAATAAAAATAATAAATATTTTATTTTATTTAAAACTTTTATCTTCCTTAAACAAAATTATTCGCTAATAATAAAATCAATTCGTTGATAACCTATTCATTCTGATCCACACATAAACAAAAATAATTGTTATCACCCATTAAGACACGCTCTCCCAAATTTAATCGGTGACAATATTGGGAAATAAAAAAATTAAAAATGTGAAATTTTTGGGATTATTGAGTTGGATAACCTTTAGATTTTTTTACAGCATCTATTCTCTTAGGCATACTATCAACTAAATTTGCCAATGTCTCCATGTCAATTCGGTATTATTCTTCTTCCAGGGCAGCAAAAAGATCATATTTACTTATAGGAATATTCTCATGTTTTCTAAATCTTCTTTCAAAGCTCAAATTTTCTATTGGATTTAAATCTGGATTAAAGAATATAATTATCTTGTTTAAATCTGTCACCGATTAAACTTTGGGAGAGCGTATTTTTAATTGGTGATAACAATTATTTTTGTTTTTGCGTGGATCAGAATGAATAGGGGATCAACGAATTGATTTTGTTATTAGCGAATAATTTTGGTTAAAGATAAAAGTTTATTTAAATAAAATATTACTATTTTATTTATTTAGTTTTCTTAGTCGAAACTAATTGACTTATGAGAAAGTTACTTTACAAGTACATTGAATTCAAGATCCTTATATACAATTCAATTAATTAGTAATTCTAATATCCCAAAATTGAGATATTCTCTCAATATTGAGAAGTTATCCCAAAATTGAGACGATATCTCAAAATTGCGAGGATATCCCAAAATTGTGAGGATATCCCAAGTTGATTCTTTCTTAAATAAACTACGACGTTATACAAATAATTAATAAATAAAATATAATAGATAAAATAATACTAAATTAATAAAGGTTATAACTAAAAATATAATAATAATAAAAATTAAGAATTTCGGAATTAGTTAAATTCGGCCAAAAGAGCGTCCAAATCTAATTCCAGTAACAAATTGTTTCAACCCTGCCTGCTCTGAGATTGAGCATTATCATCTGAAATACCCATAACTTTGAAAGGTTCAAAGATTGAAGAAGAGGTAATAAGTAATCTTTGAATATTTTTTCATATACTTCACCTGTAATGTTAACATCAAATTTATAAGTGGACCAATTTGATCTTGAGTAAAGCATCTCCATACCATTATTCCAGGTGAGTGGGCAACCTTAGGTACTAAACAATCAATTTTATATTTCTCATGGGGTTGTCTCCAAGCCCAATTTTGGGAGTCATTTGTCAAATATAATGAATCTTGATTCATCACTGAATATGACTTCATTCCACTCTAATCAATCTTTACAACATCTCACAAAATGACAACATTTCTTTCTATTTACTTCTGATATTAAAGGCTTTCTTTCTCCTGCACATATATGGTAACCCATATAAATTTCTTTGCACCATTCTTGTACTTACAAGCCTTATTTATCTCATTTGGACAACTTTCACTAAAGCATGTTTACCTCTATCTGAAAGTGACTTGGGTTTCCCACTTCTCTTATCATTTTCAACAGTTCCTTCTTTATTATATCTTTCTAGAATATTATATATGGTTATCAATTGCATCCCAAGTCTTTTGCTTATTTTTGTCTTACATCCCATTTTCAAGCAACAACTACTTTTGCATACACAACAACAAATAATTCTCTAATTTTAGTCATCTGATTTAAATGATTTTTTTGTGAAATGATATAAAGATCTAAAAACAATTTTATAAGTGTATGTTTATTAGGGATCCAAAATTTCATGTGTAACAAATTTTTCCTAGGGGTTGGCACCGTTAACCATTCAACCGTGGTTAACCGGGAATTACTCGTTTATTCGTTTTATTCATTTTGTTCGTTTTGTTCGTTTTGTTCGTTTTGTTCGTTTCATTCGTTTCATTCGTTTCATTCGAATAGAAATCCTAAGGACGTTCTATTTTTTCAGTTCATATATAAAATTCATCGTCTCCGCAAACTTTTAAACTTTTATTGTTTCAGGTTATAAAATACAACGCCATTGAGTAATTAAGCCTGTGTCTCCAGAAAAAAACTCATTCACCGGTTGTTATTAGATTAGAAATTAGTGGGTTTGGTTCTAAATAAGCAGAGTGCAAAATTAGAATACCAGGAACTGCCAAATAGTTTTAGCCTAAGCTCTAAATAGTTCGGTTCGGTTTCGGTTTGGTTCAAAGAGTAAACCGAACCGTTCGGAGCTTTAGAAATTATACAAATTCAAGAAAAATATCTAAAGACCTTTTTTCAGAGAAAATCCAGATTTTCAAAGTACTATTTCCAACCTTGGTTGAAGGATGAATGTGTAGTTCGATATATCTTTTTTTTTCTGAAATAAAGAATTATATATAATAACGCAAAAAAGATTAGCAAGAAATGATTTTTTTTCCTCAAATTAATCATTTTTCATTCCCAATTAACAAGTCAATTGGATCACATCTCCAAACAAAATGCCCGGTCAGTATGGTAATATCTTGCAGAATGTTACTATTACCAATTGTTAAGTGTAACTGATCTCTTCCCTTCGGTCTAAAGATTAAAAGCAAGAGCATCAACATCTATATATATCGATCCAATTCAACCTGACTTCACTAACTGATTCAAATCCACAGTGTTTTTTATTTCTACCCTGTCAGCAGATAATATGAACTCATTCTTTTTTTACGTTTTCATCGATGTTCTCCTTTTCTAATTGTTGGATGTACCTTTTCTCAAAATCTTTTTAAAACTGATATTTAAAATATTAACTTGGCTAGAAAATAGTGATCAAAAAAATTACATTATCTAAAGTATATGAAAAGTTCCAAATTTTACTATATTTTAATTTTAATGAAATAATTAATAAATTATTAATATCACAACCATCATTTTCAAATTTTCTTTGCAAAACTTATCAGTTGAAAATAAAAATAAGATAACCTATTACTTTGTGATTTTGTGTAGATCAATTTTGAAATCATGTTTAACAATTTGAAATTCTCTCTAAAAAATTTTGCCAATATTTGTAATAAAGATATCAGTAGAAATTATAATAAAAATATACATTTAAAAAAGAAAGTCTTTATAAATAATAATTATAATATTTTTATTAATCAGAATCAATTACATTTTCATAAAAATAATGTTAATTTGTTAATTGAAAAAGTCAATTATAACAACAAATATATCCATTCATCGTTTTTCAATTATTTTGATAAATCTAACATCATTTACAATAATGATGATAGCAAAAGTAATGATAACGATGGTAACAATGATTCTGGCAACAATAATAATACTGTCACAAACACTACTAAAAGTATAGATGTTGACACAAAAACCACTAGCAACATTGCAGAAATCACCAACACAGCTTCATCTTCGTTGTCTTCATCACCACCAGCAGCAGCATCAGCTAATGATCAACAAAATTTAGATAGACGTCTATTAATTTCATTTACATGTAAAGTGTGTTCTCACCAATCAACAAAGACGATGTCAAAACACTCATATGATCATGGTGTAGTGATTATACAATGTCCTTCATGTAATAATAATCATTTGATAGCTGATCATTTAGGATGGTTTCGTGATGGTAAAACAACTATAGAAGACTTGATGCTTGAAAAAGGTGAAAAGGTTTTGAAATTTATTGCAGATGAGAAGTTTGAATGGAATTCTGAGACAATTGGGAAGGGAAAATTGAGAATAAAATTACAAAAAAATTCAATCAAAGGAAAAGGTCAATTTCCTGAAGATGATTAGTTACTAAAACTGATGTTGGTTTTTCTGTTACTGTTGATTAAAAGAAATTTTCTTGATTGATTATCTGTGAAAATTTCAGAATGGTAGACCATTATATATTATTATACTGCGTATATTTATTTAGTAATAATTAAATTTAAAATATCATTAATGTCTGGCAACATCAAAAATTGGTATACTTGTTGTCATAGTAATTAATAATCATTTTTGCAATCAATGCTCTTTTTTTAATAAAATTATATATCATAAATTTAAAGCTGTAATAAAACAAAAGAAATACATCTTTAATCATCAGATAATCACCCAATCATCATCATCTCCTTCATCACTTTCCAGATAATCTCTGGGTAATTAATTTCATTGTGAATTCTTTGGAACCTCATTCTTTATCAAAAGTTACTAATTAAAAATATCAGTTTGAACAAAATATATTTCAATAAATTATATTAACTTGTTACAATTATTAAATACTTTAAACAACCGTTTATTCAACTCATTATATAGAGGATTGATAAGTTTTCTAAATCTTGACAATTTAAACCAATTGATTGCTGTCATTTTGACTACAAATTTTTCCATTTATTCTAATAATGTTTAGACAATTATGACAAAAACAGAAATGACTTTTTTTCAATATCCAAGTCTGATTCTTTTATTTTTGTAATAAAAAAACATCCTCAATTTTGTATAATGGTGGATTATTGCTTAATATCGTTCTTCTGTCTGGTCTTATTTGATCCAAATCATCATGTTCTTCGAATCTTTGCCTTGTTACTTAATCCTCCTAAGGAAGGATCTATAATAGTCATTGACGGCTAGGGTACTGTGAATAAATTACGATTTCTTCTTTCTCTATTAATGCTTGAATCCACAATCCCTTATAATGTGCCCTAGTTGCCCGCAGGAATAACATTTCTTTTTTGGATCTTTGTTTGTCAAGTTGTCAATAGTTCTATCCCGTGATAATAGAACCTAAATAATTGATCCGGATTTACCCTTGAAATAAAGAAATACGAGGCCCACTGCTATCAATTCGGGATAGTTATCTTTCCAATTAGAATTTGATAGTAAAGGCAGTTAATAATATCCAGTGTGATGAGTTCAAGATATTTAATTGCATCTAGCAGTTTATTTGTAAAGATGAAGATAAAAACAAAGGTATGCTTTGCATTCAATAGTTCTAACAATAATTTAATTATCAATCATGAATTGAAATTTGGGTTTCTGTATCAAATCAAATGGTTTTAGTCCACACAACCTGCACAAGCGTCATTGATTAATTTTTTGGGAGAGCGAATTTAATTAAATCAGTAGATCATGAGGTCAAACCAGGGTATTTACTAGCAATAGTTTTGGGTATGATTTGATTATCAAGTCGAAACTCGTTAGTTATTATGATTATAAGAATCTAATTTTTGTTTGCTCTTATGATTTGATTGGCTGATCATTACACATCAAATGCAAATGAAAATCATTTATTTTTTTTTTCTAACAAAAAAATAAATCAATAAAATGGTAAATCTAATATTAATCAACTAATTAATTAATAAAAAATGAACTAGTTAATAATATATATTAGAAAAAAATAAAAATATTCTAATAAACCAAATTTTGTAGGGTATTGACATTAAGAAACACCACGTAAGAAAGAGGAATAGAACAGAACCAAAAAGTGAAGATGTTTATCTCAGGTTATTAGTTAAGGTAAATTAGAATGAGCGAGTGAATAATGAAAGGAACAAACAAATAATTTGGTTCAAATTAAAGTCATTAACACACACAGATATATATCTTACATTAACAAATAGCTTTATAGAGTTTTAGCGAGAAGAACAGACTCTAAGTTTAATAAAGTGATATTAAAACGACTATTTATGTCACGAGTGAATAGACCACCAATTTCAATTTCTCGACTAATTTGTAATTTGGAAAAGCATTCAGGTAAAATTGCAGTGGTAGTTGGAACAGTCACAGATGATAATCGAGTATTAGATATACCAAAAATATCAGTTGCAGCGCTCAGAATAACAAAAACAGCTAAAGCGAGAATTTTAAAAGTTGGTGGCGAAGTACTCACACTAGATCAATTGGCTTTACGTTCACCAACCGGTTCTAATACTGTACTCTTACGAGGTCCTAAATCTAGAGAAGCCATTAGACATTTTGGGATGGGTCCACATAAGAACGCCAAGTATGAATTTTATATTATTATTATTATTATTTCATTAATTTTAATATTATACTAAAAAAATTTCTTTTTGATTAAATAATAATGACAATCAATAAAATTTAAAGACCTTATGTTCGTGCAAAGGGAAGGAAATTTGAGAAAGCACGTGGTCGTAGAGCTTCTCGTGGTTTCAAAGTTTAAAATTAAATTATTATTGATTTTATAGCATTGTAATTATCATTGGATTGTTACATTAATAAATTTGCACATTTGCAGTTTTTATCACTAAATTAAAAATTCATAGGCAAAAAAAAACTTAATTCAAGTTTTGTTTGTTGTAAAAATATATGTCTTATAAATCCTTATTGCATCAAGATAAAAATAATTTGAGAGCTAACTTTTTATTTAGATTTTTGAAAAAAATTAAGGAAATTTTCAAGGTTCCAATATTTCAGGAAGTTTCAACTCCTTCCATTTCTTCACTTGGAATTCCACTAAACATATACTGTTCTTGATACTCTTTTCATTCAAAATAAACTGTGAACACGCTAGCCTATTCATAAACAAATAAATTAGGAATCATAGACTAAATTAGAGAATGGATCATCAGATTCTATATCCAAAGACTTTATTTCATCAATTACTTCCTTCTCTTCTTTCTCGTCATCATTATTATTGTTTCTCAATGGTATGAATAATTTATGTGCGTGCAACATCATTCTCCAAGTATCAGTATAACAAAGATTTTCGCATAAATTTTCATAATGATAGTCTCCTAATATAGGATGTTTTAAATATAAGCAATGCAATCTCAATTGATGTCTTCTTCCTGTTATTGGAAACAATTGAATTAATGTTACTGATATTTTATCATCATCATCATCACCATTATTTAAAGGATGAAAATATCCTCTTTTAATTACTTTAATTTCAGTTTTTGCTTCCTAAAAAAAATGCAAGTTCAATTAGTTTATACATTTTTTTTTAGTTAAACACATCTATGTGTATAGTTGTACCTTTCCAAGATTGTCCTCACTACCAAGACACATTCTATATCTATTATTAGGTACTTCAGCTATAGGTTGATCAACAATATAACTATTATCAAAAAAATAATAAAGTTTTTTAGAAGAGAAAAAATTTTGTTTGTTGTCAATTTTTAATGCTCACTTATCATCTTTCATCCAATTTCTAACAATTGCCAAATAACTTTTTTTAACAGTTCTTTTTGTAAATGCCACGCTTGCTAATCTTGCTGAAAGTTTTGTCAATGCTAGACAATAACAACCTGATGTTGAATAATCCAATTGATGTACGTTACGTAACGGCTTTGGTAATGTTGGATCATAAGAATATAATAATGATAATACTATATACATATAATAAGTAATCATATAATAAGAAAATGTATAGTAATTTGATTTATTTGTACATACCAGTTGGTCTTTTAGAAGAATCGCCATCAATTTTTACATCATAACTTTTTATACAATGAAAAAAAAAATCGTTTATTGATAATATTAATGCAATTTTATTTTATCTTTTGTAAAACAATCAATCTTACGGTTTATCGATGACCAAAAATTCTTCATTACGAAACAAAATTTTGATCTTTGGTATATTGATACGAAATTCGTTATTTAATTTACTATTATAACGATATGTTTGAATTCTTGGATTATTATCATTAGTGGCTTCCATTTATAACGGTAAATTATTATATTTTTTATATTTTTGCGTGCATTTCAATTTCGATAATTGATCTGCATAGCTTTTTATTAAAATAAAATTTTAAATATATAAATTAATTAATATGATTTCTATGCATAATAAGATGGTGATATTAATATATCAGAAAGAAGTGTTAATTGTTCTTCAGTGAATTGTTTCGTATCTTCGTGCCAAGAATCCTGGTGCGTCCTTCTAAAATCTGCAAATGTTTTCTTTACAGTTGTCTAATTAACAGAACAATTATATGTATATGTATGTATATATATATATATATATTAAATTTAAGGATTAGAATTATTTATGTAAAAAAAGTTTTTTTATAAAAAATGATAGAAACAATAATTACTTGTATTGGTACAGGATCAGATATACAGTTCGCTAATTTTACAAGAACATCAGGCATCCATTTTGGCACTTCATATGGAAATGCATCAATTAAACATGAAAGACCAAGTACACCAGCATGGCGTGTAAGGATTGCCTCTTGAAAACCGAGCGGAAGGGCTGCACGTGGTGCTTGATTTGTTTTCTTTCTTGGAGGAATTTTAGTTTCCAATAGTTTTGAAAATTGCTCCTTTAATATGAAGGAAATAAGGTTTTTATATTTTAACATTTTTGTTAAACTTTAAAAGCATTTTCATTATCATTATCTATATATCTAATATACACATATATACATACTTTTAAAGTATCGATTGCATCTCTCTGTGAGCAACGAATAAGTCCCGATAATGTAACTGCAGCCAATTGTCTCACCTTTTATAAATGAATCATAAATAATTTTTAATATTGCAAAAATAAAAATATAATACAATAAAACTATTGTTGATATACACTCGCTCACCTCTATTTGGTTGTCTTTTAACATTCCGGAAACAACATTCATAACTTTAATCATTTCTCTTTTATTTAACATAAATAAATGTTTGAAAAAAAAGATTTGCAAAACAGGTAATGCTTTTACTCTGATACGCCAACTGGATGATTCGGTCAAAATTTCTAAAAATTTATCAATAATCAATGGAACCATATCTGGCGGATATGGAAATGAAGCAATTATGTTTAAAACAAGGGTTGATACTGTTTGTAGATCTTGATCATCGTTAACATCTTGCATTTGAAATATTGAGGGCAATAATGGCAATATCAAATAATAGGTTCCAGATGCTTGCCATAAAGTAAGAGCATCATACAACCATGCAACCACTAATAATAATAATAAAATAATAAAATTGGTATCGAATAATTATTATTAGCATTAATAACATTGAATGAATGTATAGATGTATGATGTATTTAGTCATGTGTTTGTATAATTTACCGGTTTTGCCAGCATTTCCATATTCCGATGATCCTTCTGAAGCTGGTTTCTTTTCTGTTTTCCAAATCGCTAATAATCTAACTGATTCATCCAATGTTTGTTTAAAATTTACATCCATACTCATGGGAACATACCCCATGCCATTACCACATTTTATATTACTCTCTAATATTTCATCAATGTTTGATGCAGAGGGATGCCATTGTATTTGTAAAAGCAAGTTTATATTTGCTGCAATCACATCACGTACTTGTTTATAAGGATGCCGAAGATTTTCAAAATAAACTTCAAGTAATGGTTTGGATTTTGGTATCATACGCCATGAAAATGAATTAAATAAAGTATTCACAAAAGAAAGTTTTTTTGCTTCAGCAAAAGAAGCATGTGATGTCAAGTCGACCTTTGATTTCAATATCAGTTCAATAATAGGAAGAACACGGCGAGGGTCTCTATTTCTCTGGTAAAAAAATCAATTTTATATATAATAAATTTTTTAAATTAATTTAAAACAAATTCAATAATAATAATTATCGACTTGTTACCAAACAATAGCCAAGAAATTTTTCCCAATATATTAATGAATCTGGTGTGATTAGATTAAATGTATTTTCAAGCAAAGGAATCAACCAACTCCATAAACTTTTTAAACTTTCCAATTTCCAATGTTTACTTCCTCTCACAATGCCAGCCATAATTTCTGACACTGCTCTCTGCTGATGCTTTTCCGTTGATTTACACAATTTTGTAATTTCTGGTATAATAATTTCTAGAAATGAATCTTCGTACATTTGAAAAATACTTTTAAAAAGATTTGCATTGATAACGGAGAAAACATCTTCTCTATCACGAGTAGATTCCTGTGACAAATACAGTATAAATGAAGACCAGAAACTATTTTCAGAAAATTTCTCAAGCAGTTTAAGATAAGCTGGATTAGATAAATTATCAACTGCTGGCATAGTGATTGAATTGGTACGTGGCACATAGTACTGAAGCTTTTCAGGCCAAACATACCAGCCGATATTTGTCTTATCCTGTAATATTCTATTAAAAAAACCAAAAAAGTTATGAAAATAATTTCGAAATATTAATTAAATCTCAAAAAATTTTTTTGCTACAAACAAGTTTTTTGCATCGTTTTCACTTTCAATTGGAGTAACACCAGATTCTAGATAATTATCTGTAAACCCAGTTGGGAGTGGAGACTTTACATAAAGCGTTTTCTTTAGAGGATTAGTTGATTTTCCCAATGTAATAAGTTCAGGATCACCCTCAAGAAATGTTCTTTGTTTAATATGAAATAATATTCTTGTAGTTGTTGAAATGGCAATACGTCTCATTGCTGGAAGTTCTGAAAGTAAATTATTCACAGCAAATTCGGCCAATTCAACAGATGTTGGTGCCTCCGGTCTTACTAATAAATCTAAGAAATTTGCTGCCATAGAAGCAAATCTCCAATGAAGATTATTAGAATTTACCAAACCCAAAAGTTTATCAACCTAATCAATCAATCAATAATTAATATACTGTTTTACTAATAAATAATTAATCAGGAATTAATGATTTTTTAATAATCATACAAGTTCAAAATAACTAGTCTTTTGCAAATCCATTCTTTGTTTAGTTTTACGTGAAATCCTCTCATACTTATCCTCGTCAAGTTTTAATGACAACGTATCCAAAGCTCGACAAATTGCATCATCTAAACTGTCAGTGAGAATTGTTTTGAATGCGGTGTTATTGTAGTTCATAAGATATTCATAAAAGACTTTACGTATCATTTCTTGAATAGAAGGCTAAATAATAATAAAAGTTTTAGCCTCTTTAATAAATACGTAAAAATATATAATATCATCAGAAAATAATGTCCCAAAATATGAATTCTATGATAAACCTTATCATTGTGTTGTGCTAGACAGATCCTAGTTATAAATAATGGAACAAATCTCCAATCTCTTAAACAGGTATACATATATGTCCTTGAACCAAGCAAGTACAAAGCACCCTTCATTCTCTCCGAGTTTGAATGTTCTAATAAACGAGTTTAAGTTAGTAAATTTAAAATTGATAAAAACATAAATAATAATAACGGCAATGAGCATAAACTAACCACCAGGCTCCAGAGCTTTCAACAAAATTGGAATTATAAGTGGTTTGGCGCCGATAAAGCATCTTGATGCATTGGTAAGGTAGGATTGTGCTATCCTAACATATTTATTAGGATATTTAAATTTGTAAATTGTGAAATTGATTAAAATCCAACCACAAATTAAATATTTTAATTATATTACCTCCTTATTTCTGAATATGAACTTAATGAAAGTTCTGCCAAGTCTTTTAGTAAATCGTCATGTAGTTTTGCTCTACTTCGGCCAAAAGAATTCTGTTTCAAACGACATAAATGTTGTTGATATGTTCGTTTTACTAAAAAAAATTATGTATATACATAGATATATTAAAAAGAATAATTAGGAACTAGAATATTTAAACTATATTTACCCAACAAATATCGAGGATATTTTTTATCGTGATGAGGAGTTTTTAACATTCCCTTTGAATATTGATATCCGCGTCTAACAGAATCGAATTTATACTTTTCTACACCTCGATCTGTTAAATATAACTTGGTCATCTAATCAAAGGTGTAATAAAATATATATAAATAAATAAATAAATAAATAAATAAATAGTCATCATCATAGAAAATACAATTCTAACCTTCAGAATAATTTTTAAACTATCAACATCATCTTCTCGTTTAGTACGGAAATAAGTTACAAGTTGATGAAGAAATTCTCCAACTTCCCTACGTAAATTTCGTGCAATTTGTCTTCGTGGATCATTTTTATCTGTAAAACAATAACCTACTGGTATGCTTTTTGTTGGATAAATTGCTTCAGTGTCCTCGTCTCTACAAGGTCAAAAACTTGTTAAATACATGGTTTTTTTTTTTGTTTAGAAAAAACTTTGAGTGTGCTGAGAAATGTATGACATCTTCAGAATTTTTACTTGAAATCAGAGTCTTCAATTTCACCATCATCTTCTACTAAAGTTGTCATTCCACTAATACAATTTCTGATAACACTTAATCGACGACAAAACTCATGTGCCATTTCTCGATTACTTAATACTGTTCCTTCCTCGTCAATTCCAGTTTCCATCAATTCTTTAATTCGCTTGATTGTTGGTTGTAAAAATATATCGAGTATTTCCATTGCAAAATCAAGTTCTTCATTGGTTGGAACATGCCAATTTATATTGACGTTATTCAGATCACCTGGTTCCATCCAATATTTATGATGGTTTTTTTGATAATCTAAATGATCAAACTGTATGTCATTATCATAAACTTTGTAATAGCAATAATAACAATATCATTCAATCAGATAATAATAAACATAATAAATGCCTTCAGAATTCCAACGTTCTATGTCTACAGTTCTAAACTCCAAAGGATAGGTGTGTGTTAATGCAATCAACATCATTCTCAAGAATTTCCCTGTCCACATATATCCTTTTCTTGACCGACACTTTTGTACCATCTCATTTGCCAACTCCAACAATTCTTTTTTATGTATAAGCAAATCTTGTCCACTAGTCATAACCACATGATATAAAATACATTGATACCAGTGAAGGGTTGTGTCTGATTGAATATGATGAGTTGATGATGTTGTTGGTGTGGAGGAAGCGCCATGTTGAAGTTCAACTGAGATGTTTGAATGACATAATGGAATGAATTGCGCAAGTGCTTTTTTTTTATTAGCATTTGTTAAAGTTGAACATAAAAAGCCTAGAATAATTAAATAAATAGTTGATCGATTGATGATGATCAGTTAAATAAATTGACGATGATTTTAACTGTACAAATTTAAATTTTGAGTTATACCCATTGGTTTTATAGCATTTTGTAAAATAGTTGTTGATGCAAAATCTATAACCATTTTTAAGGCCATGCTTTGAAGATGTTCTGACAATTGATTTCCAACTATTTCACATGCATGCTATAACGAAAAAAAAATAGAAATAGGTTTAGATATAGATAAATAAAAATACAAATAATGAAATTTAATAATTACCAATAGAACAGTAACCAAGCCAGTTTCCATATTCATTTTGCTACGTACTTGTTGTGGAAGATATTCAAACTGCAATTTTTAGATTGATTTTTTCGAGTAAAGGGAATTAATTGGTGATTTAAACATACAAAAAGACAGCTAAAGTATATTATTATTTTTAAAAAAGGATACTATAGTAAAGATTCTTCTATAAAACTTTGCCAGCCATTCTTCAAATTCTGAAGTACCGGCTTTACATAATGCATTTTCTTCTTCTCCATCAATTTCCATTTCATCCTTTTCTCTCTCATAAATATCTATGCCAGTCCAACGGAATCCAGAACTAGGATCATTATTACCATCTGTCAAATCACTCAATGGCACGCCCATTAACGTATGGGTAACAAATACCAAGGAAGATATTGTTTTGATTGGATCATTCATATCAATACCAGGAATTATTAGATGAAGAAGAGGCGCAAGATGTTTTCCGCCGGCTGGGTATTGAGTTCGTGAAAATAATGGGATAGCTAGCAGTGAAAGTGCTGATATAGATGATGTTGTTCGATGTGTCTTTTTCCAAAAAAAAAATTTTTTTTTTTTTTTTCCCAAAAAAAAAAAAAAAAAAAAAAAAAAAAATCAAAAAAAACGCAAAATATGAAAATGGAAATTTGTTACACACCCAAAAATTAATACCAATTATTCAGCCAAATACCCAAAATTGCTTTTTGTCATGATCCATCTTTAAAAATAACTCGTACATTTATATAAAAATTTAATTGGTGGAAATACAGTTACATTGAATTCACCAATTCACCCACCAATTCATTTTTGATCCTTACATTTCCGAAACCATTCGTTTTAAACACAAATAATTCGAGAACAAAAACATTGGTATGATTTAAGGTGCACGGTCAAAAGAATATGCGCTCGAAAAAAATATTACGAAAGGTGTTAATATTTGTAATTTACAGTAATTTACGGTTGTGTAAATAAAAATATATTAATAAAGACAATATTGGTATTGTGTAAATTTATTATTGTTTTTGATTGTTGTATTTTTGACATGTGTACATTAACTCTCGTGGAAAAATAAATTTTTGTGACGAATTAATTAATTAATTAATTGTTATAATGCACCTATAGATTTTTTAGTTTTTCTCGGCGTTCTTTTTAATGAATGGAATTGAAAAATCAAAAAAAATATTTCTAAATATAAACACATCAAGCCATACACCAACTAATACTTATTTATGTTAACCAGCGTAAAATATACCAAGAAATACACCAACCAACACTTATCCATTCTTTCTAGAGTGATATTAACAGATGTAGGTCATACCACAACAACATATTACCATATCACACCACCAACCAACCCAATACTTATCCAGCGTAAAGGGTCGTCGATCCGAAAAAATTCAATAATAAATTTTATCCCTGTTTTTAATGATAGATCTGATTGGTACGATGACTTGATCCTTGTAATCCATCACTTTGGACGAAACGTGTAATTAAAACGTGTAAAAAAATAATTAAATTGTCCGACTTACATAACTAATAAATAATTGTAAATCCTTATTGATAAATAATAAATAATAATAATAATAAATAAAAATAATAAAAGTGTCCAATAGGAAAATTTAATTTAAATTTTTTCTAAATCTAGATCTGACAACAATATTTATTAAATTGGGGGGGCGTGAAATCAGATCAGTGAAATTTACTAATGTAAACCAAGCGCAGGGGATGGATATATGTCAAGGTTAAAAAATGTTTCACATGGCAATTTACAATATGTCATCATCAAATTTTCTAATTAATATTTTCCCCTTATTTTTTTAAAATCACCAATCATAATCGATCGTTCTTTTATTTACTTACCTTTACTAAATTGTTAAAGAATGTGTGCTTATATGTGTGTGTGTTTGTGTGTAATTAGATTTTCATTCGGGTATTTATGTAGGGCATTTAAAACGAGGGATGGGCGATTCCGCCACATTTTATGTGCCACCACATATCAATAATCAATCATTTTCAGAATTTTAAATTCATGGAATTCTCACGCTGGAGAGCAAACATTTGGTGATTTGGGTAATGGTAATATTTAATAAAATATTCCTTATTAAAGCATCAAAAGAATATATATGTATATATATATATATTTAATTACATACATGCTGTATACGCAAATTCGTGTAACACCAACCCGTAATTTATTTGGAAATCAATCACATAATACATACATACACACAGACAGATACATTCATTGCACCTTATTTTAGCTCCCTCATAGGACTATTTAGGAAGGGTCAATTGTGCCACATATAAACACGTGAGCCAAATAAGCAGGGCGTTGGGGCAGATTTAATTGCCTAATTAAGGAAATAGAATTAGCATAAGTTATTTCCAATGCGACTATTTAATAATAATGTACATCGGAAATCAATACGAGGCAGACAATAATTAGTTAATTAAAGATTTTTTGGTTTAACATAAAAGTTATTTTTGGAGAAAACCTTTTAACAATGGCGACGATTATTATTATTATTTTTATTTTTATTATTATTATTATTATTATTATTATTATTATTATTATTATTATTATTATTATTATTATTATTATTAGAAGGTCGTCTAATAACAAATATTGGGATCACTGCTTGGACCATTTGATATCGAACCAACCAAAGTTAATTAATTAGTGCATTTTTTTATAAATTTTATTTTTAGAATTTGAATAATCAAAAAACTTGCGACGATTGTAAAGTGTCAATTATTTTGCGGGGAAATTAAATGTTTGCATAAATTATTTATTTTTGAATACAAACAAAATAAAAAAACTTAATGTTAATTTAAATTTATGTAAATTCGAATTAATCCCAATATCAATGTTAATGAGGAAAAAAAAATGGTATTTACAAATAAATAAATTAAGATTTAAATTTTAATTTTAATTAAAATTTCTAGGTAGGCCAAATATTTTTAATCATTTCATTGTTTGTTCGATTCGTTTAAGCTCGGCGATTTTCTAGATCGTTAACCAATCAAAGTTGATGTTACATTAGAAAAAAAGGGATGGTACTTTTATACCCCACTTTTTTAAATCAGAAAATGGTAATCAAAATAAAAAATTTTTTTTTTATTAAAAAAAATTTAATATTCGGTCAGAAAAGACGATGATAATTTAATAAAGGTATTTTAAAACGTTAAATATAAAGTATTAATCAGATTTAAATTTTTGAATCTTGGGATTTATTAGCCATGTGGGTAAAGTAATAAAAAACGACCAATAATCTAATATTGTTTATAGAATCATCAATCGACTATACTAAAAATAGGAATTTTGTTATATAAAAAGTTGTCGTTTCATAAACTATTTTTTATTAATTAACGAAATTTTATTGGTTAAGCAGTTTTTTTATTTTATGATGTATAATTAAATTTAATATAAATATTTGAACCAGACAACTTGATTTTTCAAAATATTCAAAACTTTTTTTGTTTTTAATAAAAAAATATTTTGTTAGATCAAAAAAAAAATACATCGAAAAAACTAAACATATATATAATATTATAATACAAATTTTAGTATTTTATCGAATAAATCACATTTTTAATAACTCGAAATAAAAAACAAAATAATAGAAATGGAAAGTCAAAATCATCAACTCTTTTCTGCTGACATTATCGATTACTCTAATATTGTAAGTGACAATATATATTACGTAAATCTGCCTGCCTATATTTTTAAATAAAAGCTTATTTGTTTTTAAGTTCAAAAAAATAATAATAACTAATACTAAATTATTATTATTATTGTTGTTGTTGTTGTTGTTGTTGTTGTTGTTGTTGTTGTTGTTGTTGTTGTTGTTGTTATTGTTGTTATTAGGAAAATTCTTATAATACTTTCGCGGGTAATCATCAGATTCAACTGGTATTCAATAATAATGGCCCTTCTATGGTAAATTTTTTTAAAACTTATCTTTAAATAATAATAAATAATAAATAAATGGTATTAATATTTAAATTTTTTTTTCCAGTCTGAAATAGACAATAAACCGATTTTATTGTCGCCAGTCGAATTGAATGATGTTAATCATCATCAATTTCAGCAACCTCAATTTTGTTGTCCACCAATGGTAATTATCTTATTCGGTGATCTCTTTTCCCACGAAAAAAAAAAATTTTTTTTCATATTACATAATGATAATAAATGAACTTTAAATTTTTTTGTCTTACAGGGAACTTTAAACTTCTTTGAAGGTCATCATAACTCCCAAATTATGTTGCCCAACCAAACAAACAGCTCCTCTTCTTCTTCTTGCACTTCTTCACCAATCAATGCCCCAACATCTCTCATAACCATAAATACTTCAAGTATTAATAATGCCAATGTTGCTCCTAATAGTATCTTGATTCGACAATTCCCCTCTCCTCCTACGTCTCCATCATCCGAAAAACAATTGTCAGTCGTCGCTCAATCTCCTGCCATTAAACACGAGACAAATATTGATGAAGATTATGAAAAAGAAATTGCTGAAGATGGTACTTACATTAAACAAGAACAAGATGATACCATTATTAGTAATCTTACTAATGACGACAGCGATGATAGTAGTAATCATCGCCATCAACAACAATTAGACTTTTTATCCATCAATCCTAAACAACGCAACAGAATTATTAAAAGAAGATTTGCACGTGAAAGATTCGAAAAAAAGCATGGATTCTCTAAGCAAAGAAAGGTAATCTATCAATAATGCTGTAAATCGTCCATGCGACACGTAATAATGATATATATTAACCGATTAATTATCTATCAATCTATTTATTTTAATTAGCCTTATATTCATGAATCTCGCCATGTACATGCTGTAAGAAGACCTCGTGGGCCTGGG